CAATGGCACCTACACTAAGCTCGCAGGTCTCGATGTCTGTGAGTCCAACCCGGCTTCCCACCTTCTCTCCAATACAAATCCTTTAACATCAATCTTTCACTCTCAGATCAAACGGGCCCACCCAACTCCACCCGCGCCCTCATAGCCGTCTACGACGTCTTCGGCTCCACACCCCAAACTCTACAAGGCGCCGACTTACTCTCCCATTCCCTCGATGCTCTTGTTTTAGTGCCCGATTTCTTCAAAGGGAAACCGTTGCCGCTGAGTCTCTACCCGCCGGACACCGATGAGAAAAAGAAAATTGCCGGCGAGTTCATGCAGGGAACCGCGAATATTGACGCGAGTTTAAAGACATTGGGAAAGATGGTGGTGGAGGCGAAGGGTGCATATGGGGATGTAAAAGGCTGGGGATGTTATGGGTTGTGCTGGGGTGGGAAACTTGCTGTGTTGAATTCTGGTGCAGGGACGGAGTTCAAAGCTGCTGGCACGGCGCATCCTGGGTAAGTACCATGACCGTGAGAACTTTCCAGTCTCTGACCGCGAACCACAGCCGTCTTGTGAAAGAAGACGCTGAGAAGCTGACCATACCGTTCATCTGCCTTTTCTCCAAAGAAGACGGAACGCCAGAATTGATGCAAGAGTACGGGCAGGCACTGGAGAAGAACGATGAGAATGTGGTAGAGAAGTACGGCTCTATGCATCACGGATGGATGGGTGCAAGAGCAAACCTGGGGGACAAAGAGAACTTGAAGGAGTTCGAGAGAGGGTAAATATCCGCAGCTCAATGGTTCCTCATAGCGCTCGGGTTACTGACGTTTGATGGTGTAGGTATACCCAGCTGGCTGGATTCTTTTCCAAGCATCTGTGAAAACGTTATAAGATTTATGGATGGTGCACTTTTAAATTCACTAACGGCCATGCATGATGAATGCTATGTATGACCTAAGTGACGTTCACTTGGCTCGAATCATTAACGGCTTTGCTCCATGCATGATGAATGCTATGTATGACCTAAGTGACGTTCACTTGGCTCGAAGTGACTAAAAGCATGCTAATGCTAGGGCATTCACTGAAAGAAAGACTCAATTGAGTGAGCCTAAAGCCCGCTCATAGATTCTAGTCTTCAAGGAAGGTTCTTGGCAAGGTTCATCCCGTGGGGTCTTCTGCGTGCTGCGACGGATTCATGCATTCACTGCAAACGTGGAGTCCTGGCTTATTGCAGGGATCGATGTACATAGAGCCACGCACGTAGAGTTCAAAGGGCGGGCTTACCGAAATAAGCCATCTGAGCAGAAACTCAAGTCAACGGTGGTAGAAACCCATCCGTTCTGCCTTGCCTCGGATGTCCTCACTCGTCACGCCCTCGGTGGCTCTGCGTCTTGTTCTCTGTGACCGTCTTATCAGTTTCTTGCAGATGCATGGTCATACAGTTCATGTGCCTAAATTCTCTTTCTTGTCAAATCTGTGGAGTACGATCGGAAGGAGCAGCAAGCGGAGCTAAGCTGACATGACGTGGTGAATTTACATACCGGCAATAGCATCGAAAGCAACATCAAGCGACCCAAGCGGATCAAGGACGGGAGGCCAAACAAACGCTCAAAAGCGCTACCCGACCACTGTGAAAAGCGGTTGTCTCCAACTTCTTTCTCCGACGCTGCAGCGGGGAATCAAAATGCCTTTCAAGTTGACTTGTTTTGTTCTTCTAGTCGCGCTCTTCAGATTCGTCTTAACAAGCTCACCTCTCTCCTTGTCATCTCTGGCTATTTCCAACATCACCCTCCCGTCTAAAAACACCCCAACGAACCCTTCTTTGAGGTGAGTCATGACTTTCTTGACTTTCTCCAAGGCTTCCGAACTCACACTAATCAAATCTTCCCAGCGCACGTCCCCACGAAAACCTCGAAATGAGCTCAGGCTGGGACGGCCCGGGCTTCATTAGCATCACCTTCTCCCACTACGGCGACAATATCCTTCCGCAACTAGCTTTTTATTGCATCGCCGTCGCAACGAACGACGCCTGGATCGATCACCGAAGCCATTGGAACCAAGCAATCCGACAGAGCGAGCTGGTGTACACGAACACAGATACCTCCAGGCACGTCATCCTCAGTGTGCTTCCTCGGGCGGCAATGACGTGGAACATGTTCTACTATTCAATGCTGTTGGTGACACGGTTCACGAGAGTATTCGACTCGATGGCTTTTGATTTCGAGGTCGAGGTGACGGGCGTGCGCGGTTTGGCGGCGATTGGGAATCTGACCATCCTACCGAAGTTGGGGTCCTGAGTGGAACGGACGATTTCCTTGCAGGTAGAGTCGCGGATTTTGGTGGGGGATAGTTCCCGAGGAATATCGCTTTTTTTCTGGCACTGCACCTGAACTGTACGACTTCTAGACGCTCTCCATTGCAGGTAATGTAATACTTGTGAGGGAAAGCTCCCGGGGAATGTCGCTTTTTCTGGCATTACACCTGAACTGTACAGGTAATGTGACAGTGCTTAGGCAAAGATTGTGCACCTGTCGCCTTTATCATGACGCTGCGCCCGAATTATATGACTCTTACAAGTCCCCCATTGTAGGTGAATTGACGGTTCTTAAGGAAAATTCTACAAAAATCGTCGCTTTTGTCGGGTAAGGTGCCTGAACTGTATAATTTCATTGGGGGTTTTCACCCTCTAGAGATGCATGACTTTTGTTACTCTCTTCCGGCAACACGAGGCAACAATCCAGGAATTGGACACGGCCAATGCCCGGCTTCACCAAGTGCAACAAGCGTTGAAGAACAAACTAGCAAAGAGCATCAGCCAGAGGGAAGCCACGTTCCCAGGACCTAAAAACCACCAATGCCCGACTTCTCCAAGCGCAACAAGCGTCGGATAACAAAGTAGCAAAGAGCAGTATCCACAGCGCGGTCACGATCCAAAACCTCAGAACCACCAACGCCAAGCTCCTCCAGGAGCAGCAAGCGTTGAATCACAAGCTAGCATCTCAAGAACAAAGGTTCAGCCAGGGAGAAGCCACGAGTCAGGAGCTGAAAGCCCAGCTTAGCCGAGAGCAACAGGCGTCAACCGACAAGCTAGATTCCCGGGATCACCACGATCCAGGACCTCACTACCGCCAACGCTGAGCTACGCAAGACACAGGAGACGTTCATCAGCAGTCTAAGACAGAGGGAAACCAGGATCCAGGACCTGACGGAGGATCTAGCGAGCAGCTGTGACGCGCAGGAGGTGCGGGAATTCAAAGGGATACAGGAAGGCAAAATTGTCTGGGTACGAGCTCAGAGATTCTGTAGCGAGCGTAGGGGTTTGGTTATCGTTGAGCAGAGTGATCATACGAGGATCGGGTGGCACGGCGGGTCTTGATCGATGCAGGGTTAAGATATGGGGGTGGGAATGGGTTTTGTGTATTGAAAACGGACCGCATGAAGCACGGATGGAGGTCCGTCTCGACGACGACGACGTTGGAATCTATGAGTTGGAGGAGTGGAATCAAGGGACTTGATGATTGGGTATTGTGAATGACTGTATAGCTAATGCAGGACCATCATCTCGTCCAATATGTCGCTTCCGTAGGCCCGCGGCCCTCGTTTTCGGCTGCCTTGCGAGGCAACAACAGCACACGCTACTCACTGTCAACAACCATGCACAGACGCATTCTCTGTTCAGACGAAGCGCAGGCATACTCTATACCATCATCCCATTGAGACTTTCTCTTGTCCACACGAGCCTCTATACAATTGCGAACCTTGTCAGGTGGCGACTGCATTGTGGTCCAACTGAAGCCCGGCTTTGACTTTAGCTTTGCGTTCCAGTACTAGTACCTAGATTTGCTTTGAAGTGCATGCAAGATCTCGTCTGGAAGAAAGTCCGAAGAGAGGTTCAGCAGCTTCGCGTCCTTGACTGACAGCACAAAGGCAGAAATGTGAGAAGGCGTGATCGTGGGATTTGTGGTTCCAAGCGCTCTTCGAGCGGTGGTGGTCATTGGGGGCATAGCGCTTAGGCCTGGCTCCCCCAAGTTTCTTTCCCCCGTTCTTTCCACTATGTCTGATCTCCCTTGGCCAACTGGAGTCTTAGGAGCCTTGCTTGATCTCCGGCTCATGCGTTCGTCTTCCTCCCCTTCGAAATCAATGTGGACATATGGGCGTTTTTCATTCGTTCGGTCAGACCCTCAAGCTGGCCACGTAGATCCCAAATCGTAGCCTCCTGATTATATTATTTTGTGGATTGTCAAGATTGTTGCTCGAGCATACATTGGCAGTATTTCCACGAATCGGTACTGGTGGAGATTCAGATGCACGCAGCGTGGTAGAAAGATCAAAGACTCTTTTAAGACTTTGCAATACTAGCGAAACAGGCATTTCACCCGTGTATCAGCCCCTGAATCCTCGTACTTCTAACCTTTGAATACAGTGGTAGCCGTCGTGTTCTGATAAAACAGTCCGCTGCAGGCCTTCATCACCTCCTCACGATTCTTCTCGTTGCTCGAGCTGACAGTGCAGCAATTGAGATAGCCATGTCGAGGGGCTACGCATGAAACACTCGATGGTTGACATTCGATGTTTCTGGATGCTGCGGACAACAGAAGAGAATGGTACAGGACCCTCGATGTGCGCTTGATGGCCAGGTCATCAAATTACCAATGTACGGTCCGTGCCTGGCGTGAATTTGACCGTAGTTGGTGATGCTGACCTTTGACCTTTAGACCTACAGCAACTCAGATCCGCAGGGTTTTGGTCCTATTACTCGCAAGGAGGGATTCAGACAGCCTCAAGAAGGGATGATGGCGATCTCGGACCTAGCAATCTGGCGTGCGTAGCAGAGACGGGAGATGCCTCGTGGCTGGAACCGTAGCGGAGGCTGCCGTTATCGGGTCCGGGTCATAAGGAAGTCGCAACCGGAGTGTCTTACAGTATTTCCTGCCGTAGTGACGTCGCAGTTTGCTAAATACAACGAGTACAACTTCGCATCAGATAGGGATAAGAAGGCGCTGTCAGAGGCTTTACAATTCTTCTGCAGCGAGGCCACGATCCAGGACCTCAACCCCAGCAACACCCAGCTTCTCCGAGAGCAACAAGCGTTGAATGACAAGGTAGCCTCTCATGAACAGAGCCAGGCTTTCAAAGCGCAGCTGCATCGGTGTGGGGTATTAAACGTACGCGCAACTTCATGCTTTGACTTCGGCCAATGCGTTGGGCGAGCGGAAGAGAATAGACGAAGCTCGCAAGGCCTGACAGAGTAAATTCGATGAAATTCGTCAAGTCAGTGTTGGAAAAGTTAACGGTTTTTTCCACGGCAAAGGTCTTATGAGCGCTGAGATGCACAGCCAAGGCTGTGTGCTTATGCAGTGCACTGGCGATGATGGGAGAAGCGAGGGGAGGAGGACGCTGCTTTCGACGTCCTGAAATTGAGTCATCAGTACAAAAGCGCCGCATAAAACAGAATGCATCCTACATTCTCTTGAATTGCAAGCACCGGTGGTACTAGTGACAGCTCCATTTGAGCAATTCGGATTGACGGTAGGCTTCTGGGGCGAACGATGCACACGCTGCCACACAGGTTGCATTCATTACATCAGCGGTGCCATTCAATGGGATCGTGATTCGAAGACAATCATTGCAGCTGCATAAAGAGTGGACATCTCCCGCCACATCTAGTAGAGAGGTCGCCACCGATCCTCAAACGTGCAACAAGGACGTTAGAACGTGACTTGGCGTTCAGCTCCAGTGTCTTCAGCACGCCCACGATCTTTTCCAGCTGCTTGCCAAGTTCCTCGTTTCTCGAATTCATGGCAACACACATGTAACTTGCAATCTGGTCCATCCACATCTTGCATGAATCCACGTCTGACCGCCTCGCAAATGTCGCTGCAATGACCTCCAGAGTGTCACCCATCGCCTGTGGGCCGTTGGCGTCTTTGACGGCCGCCATGTGCCGGTTGTTGTAGTCGACCAATTCCTCGCCAATACGTGTCAAGGACGTGAATAGTTCGGCTCACATGCTAGGAGTGTGTTCTGGTGACGACGACGTCGGTTCAGAGTCTTGTGCCAGCACAACTGCTATGTCTGCTATGATGCCATGCACTATAGTCGGTAGGATGTCCTCTTGTTTCCATTCAGCCGCCCGGGCATTGAGTCGTTTGCTTCCAAGAGCGAAGAATGCACTCAAACGCTTATACGGTAGGATGGACTCTTTTGACCCCCTCAGGCCCTTCCGCAAAGCGAGAACGTTGGGTGCATCAAGCGAGAGCGTTGGCCACAGTATCTGTACGTATATCAGCGAATGTTAACAGAGCAGGTGTTTTCACATACCTTGGCCTCTTCCACCAGGCAGCGAGCCTCCTCTACTCCAAAGTCTGCTGCCCTGTCCAAGAATTTGTGAAGGTTGACGTTTGAGCTCGGCATTCGAGCCTCAAGGTCTGGATCAGCGGCGTCCACAATCTTCGTCAGGTGCTCCCGCAACCTTACCTCTTTTCTCGTTAGCTATATTATCCTCGTCACCTACATTCGCGCCACCTACATTCCGGTTACCTCTATCCTCGTCACCTCACCTGCACTCTAGTCATCTCTATTCTCATTAGCTACACCATTCTCGTCACCTACGTTCTGGTTTCTTACTATTCTCGTCACCTCACCTGTATTCTATTCAGAGTCAGCATAGTCAAGGACGTCGGCAGAGGATGGAACAAGCCGCACGTAGGTTATTTGCAGAATAACATGATGGAATTGGTATTAGGCGATCATGATGGAAAGGATGCTGTTCTAGCTAGGGATGCAAGAGCGGAACTATGTACATTTGAACGCAAACGCGCAGCGAGCACGGCTGGTGAGGCCAACCATTGCTTCGACGTCCTGGCTCTGGCCCTTGGTGGGATCACAGTGCTGTTAACAGATCTCTGATATATTTGGCTCCCCGTTGTCAGTATGGACCATCGGCGCTATTAAACTCTTATTTACTTTGGTTTTCTTCTGTTGAACTCTTCGCATTCCTACATCCACAATACCATTTCGTGCTCGCAGTCGATAGATCTTCACACTGTTGTTCTATCCGTGCCGGTGCGAGAGCTTTTAATATAATTTCGAGGTCAAGGTGATAGGCGTACGCTTTTTGACGGCGATTAGGGAATTGATCATATTATCGAAGTTCGGGGCTGGAGTGTAGTCCATTGTTTGAGAACATGGAGGATTGTTTGCCTGAAAAAATTGCATACTTTGTTGGTTTTGTCTCTATTGCAAGCAAGAGAGACGCAATGATTGGGGACGCTCTTACGATTCTTCACTTTTGGTTGTTGTGCAGTGATGATAATCGCTATAGTGAATGGGTATCATTCGATCGAACTCATATACAACAATGTGGTGCTCTCACCATGAGCGAAAACAACACGCACGTCACTATTTAAGAGTAAAATGAAGCAGGGCATATATGATCTGCAATGCTTGGACGCTGTGAAATCATCTCCAACTCTTTGGGAATGAAGATCCGATCCACCACCCGCTTCCAGCCCGCGATCCACATACTCTCAACGCTGGGCAAAGAGACGTCTTCGATCGAGTGCTGACTCACTACCTGCAAGGCCGTGATGGCCTACTTCTCTTACACGTTGACGGTGTTGCTGGTACAGGGAGATCGATAGTCATCGATGCGACTTAAAGTTATTTGTCCTACTACACAGCACAGGCACCATAGCATGCTGGGTCGACTGAAATTCTCGAAGAAAATTCAATCAAGTCAATACCGGCTGCGACAGTCAGGTATCGTACTATGATGTTCGGATGACTAGCTCAATGCCCTTTGTTTATCTTCGAGACCTTTGTACCGCTCAATCCACCGGCCTTCTCATTCAATATTGTGACAGCAAAGCCACCTTCGAGTACTACTACCCACATCACTTATTCCGAGCCGTTCTAAATATATATAAAAAAAGGTTCAAATCGAAGATTTCTTTTCCAAACTCTTTGAAAGTTGGGGGTGGTCAGATGAAGTGAGAATTAAGCGGTCAGGAAATGAGCCAAAAGCTTCATTGACACCGTGCAATCCGGATTCTTGCCCCACCAAGTTCCCCTGTTTTGACAACAATTTGGCTATAAGTTTTGAAGACTTCCAGCAGATAAACCAGGAATTGAAGGAAAAGCTGCGGCAAGAGCTGAGGGGAGAAATGGAGGCGAGGATACGGTTAGAGATCCAACAGGAGGTGAAAGCGGCATACCAGGCCAAACTGGCAAGCCTCGATTGATGAAGACCAATTTGCTACGTCAAGCGGGTTATTTGGTTTTCAGATTGCTAACGACTTAACGATTCGATGCTGGTCTGCTTTTTTTTGCTAGGAGAAGTGCTAGGGGATGGTTCTTTTCTCTATTCCGTTTTTATTTAAATGGCCGGAGCAGATTCTACGAGACTAGATCAGCGCGCGCTGGGATCCAATCACCATGGCAGTACGGCCTCCATCACATAGTGGTTACTGCACATCACATAATACCCTCAACTAACAGATGCTGTAGGAATTTCAGGAAGCTCACGAGGGTCCAGACTTGAGCGATGGGATGATTGAAGTGCCCAATGGGCAAGGGGGGTTCAGTGAGGTTCAAGGACCCGTCCAAAGCGAAGGAGAGCTCATTTTTCCAATAGCTACTGCACGAGATAGCCTCCACCGCTGTCAGGATGACAGATGGAATAGGATGTAGGCACGCATGGTATGTGTGATCTGAATCGACGGCCTCGTTTCTTTGACTGATGAGCATAAAGACGCACAGGGGGAGAAAGAAGACAGAGCCGATTCTTCAGACGAGGTGGAGGATGGCGATGGCGATGACGATGGAGCCAACTATGCGTACGTGACTGGTGAGGAAGGCCAGTGGGTACAGGATGAGTCTGGGGAGTGAGTCATGCTGGAACGGTATTCTGAGTCCGAAATGAAGTCAGACTTGGGCTCTGAAGACGGGGATGACGCTAACGATGAAGAATGAGGATACGAATAATGCTGACGATGGCAATGCTCTTGCCTAACCAGCAACCAAATAAAAATTCTCTACTCCAGCTTTCCATTCCAAGCCGACTCCCTTCCGCATGTTTTGGTCAACGTCCTTGTCTTGTGATGTTTTCTCGCCTCGAGTCTGGCCACGTTTTGAGATCTGACGATTCGGATGCCAGCCGACCAATCGTTGGCGCGTCTGGCAGTCATGGGACCGCTCCGCCCGAACCACTCAGAGATCATTACTATTCTTCTGATCTTCATCGGATGCATACGAAACCGGACGGTTCGCGGTCTGATGACCGTGATCGGCAGTACGGCAACAACAATCGTGGTTCTAATTCGGGCGAGCAAGACAGTCATAGGTACTTCGAGACGGCGTCGGAACCACGACCGTCCATCATACCGAGGCAACAGGAGCCGTTCGCCTCGAGATTGATACCTACTATGGTCGTGATTGAGGCCGGCATTTCGACGACGGCAGAGCCAAGAGGAGAAGAGATAAGGACGGCATTTTCAATGCATCCGACCGCAAGACCAATGCTGTGACAATGATCGAAGCGGTGAGGGTGCTTACGTGCAGCGAACACATCCAAGCCTCGGCATGTATCATGTGCACTTTCGGATCAGGAGCAGAAGCTGGCAGCGCCTATCAAATATCGGGTTCTTCGTGCTCAACCGTGACCCTTCTTTTACTTGGGTAATCTACTGGTCCTGGCATTCTTCGCCATCTTCTCGGCGGCTAGGCAGACGCCAGAATGGCGAAAACCGTTGCAAAACCTTCTCATTGCATGAGAAGCCAAGCCAGTACCATGAAAAACTCTGACTCGTTCTTCCATTTCTTTTCCCCGCTCCATTTCTTTTCCCCGCCCACTCTTTTTCTCGCCCTGAGCTTTGTGTGTCAAACAAGACAATCTCCACACTTTTATTATAATACTTCGGACTCGAAAACCTTTGAGTCTTAGTCACAGATATCTCTTTCATCCTTCGGCTTTGTCACAGCCTTGCACTCCCCGCTTTTAGGACCAGAGAGTTCGACTTGATATCGAGCCCCATGCTTCATACGGCGGCTCTGGCAGCACTTACTCGTAGAATGACCGAGGCCAATTGCGAAGGACATAATATGTCTCGATATCAGTGGCGCAGGCTTCCTACAGAACTTCTCATCGCTGTCGCGGATCATGTAAGTGCGCAAAACCCACGCTTGATATAGCCGAAAAAATAGAGACATTCTGACGTTGTGATACTAGCTGTGCAGCCACCGAGACATCGTAGCATTTGGTCTGACGTGCAAGGGGCTGCACATTCTCCTGGTGCAGAAGCAAAGGCGATCGCTGGATATTGAATTCAATGCATTAGAAACCGCTTGCACCTTACTGAGAGCTCCGAAGTATCGCTTATTGAATCAACGGGCTGCGATTTTGACAATCCCAAGTCTTAGAGGCGATTTCGAAAACCTTCAAGATGGGCTCGGATCTTGCAGGCCTCCAAATTGCAGGTGTTGCGTTCTTCTTGCAAAGAAGATGGTTGCAGCAAAGCAGCTGTTCAGACAAAATGATTACGAGCTCGCGAAGAGCATCAAGGAGCTCAAGCTCAGCGGCTACTTGCCCTACCGTGGTGTTAGCAGCTACTCCTTGACCTCAGATTCCCTTATACAGAGTGGCGGGTTCAGGGCTATGCGGCCGGAGACACTCAAAATCAACTTGGGTTGGGACCACTGGGACCTTAATATCTTGCATGCCATGTCGGTGACCAATCTGAAACTTTTGAAGCTGCCCGTACGCCTGCCTTCAGATTGTGTTCGACTCGGACAGGCACTCACTGTCATGCCGAAACTTGCGAGCCTCGTAATCACGGATATCCCAGACCGAGAAGAATTCCTAATTGAGCTCGGTTACCTCGGTAAAGGCATCATGTCTTGTGCACCAACCTTACGAGAACTAGACATCGAGATGACAAACTTCAATCGTCCACTCTCATGGGCTGGAGATGAGCGCTTCGTAGAACCACAAGATGACGGGTTCTTCTTCCGCAAACTCTTTCCTTGCCCACCAAAGGAGGAGCTTCTCGGGCTATGCGAGCGACATTCTCGACATGACACGGATCCCATGACTGAGGCTCCGTTGAGTCTCACGAAGCTGCGGTTGAAGCATTTGAGTTTGCCATGGTATTCATTCGGCATAATCTTCAATGCGAAGGCCATCAGACAACTTCACCTGCCGTACTCCTCGGCTGACAGACAAGTATGGGGATTCCTCGAGACATATGCACAATTGGACAGTCTGACCGAGATCAGCTATGACATGCTATCGGCAGTATTCCTTGGTTTCCTAGAGCAACAGTCATCGCTGAAGGAGCTTACATTTGCGCGCCCGCAAGACCAATGTGATGGGACGGACGTCATATTCTACGGCACCAGCGCCCACATGATACTTCGTGTGTCTAGAGAAGCTCCTCGGCTTGGTCCAGATGCTGGAGCGGAGTACCCGAATCTTGACAATTTCTTGTCTTCGCTTGAGGATATGACGATGTTGAAACACCTAGTGTTGCCAGCGGACATGTACACGATAACAAGTGGCTGTCTGTGCTCTATCGCGACATCTCTCACCAGTCTGGAGCATCTGGAATTGGGATTTGACTATAATGACCTTGTAAGAACCAGGGTCTTTCAGCTCATGATGAAGAGCACTCAATGCTGACTTTGTCTTCGTTGCAGGAGCTTCAACGAATATTTGCATCTTGCTTCCTCTGCGGCACACGAACCTTAAAGAAGCTCACGTTCCTCCCTCTAAAGCAACCCAAACCACTGCCAGACTTCAATCCCGCGCAATTCCACTCTCTTGTTGTGTCCTTGGCCGACGAAGTTTCACAAAACCTCAAACTTGTCCGCTACATGCCTCTGGACCAGATATATGGGCATAAATATTGTGGTGACATAGATGTGTATTATCACCGAGAAACGCCCGTTGACGGCAAATGGTGGATGTGTCTCCCACCGCACGAGAGCGAACATATCTTCGCGGAAGGGCGTACGCCAAGTATTCCTGTGGACGATTGGGACGGGGGATTTGAGGCGGAACAAGATGCGTATTGAAAAACGGGCTTTCGGCTTTCGGAAAGACAGGGGCGAAATGAGTAGATAGAACCGGAGGCACCACCAGCACCAAGTCGTGAAAACTTAGGCGCCTTGTCAAAAGCTCGGAGTTCGTAGGTCTCCCGAAACGCTGTATATATACTTTGGGGCTTCACTGTTTCTCATGCACTCGATGAATCTCTTGCGCTCGTTCCAGGTGTGAAGTGGCGAAGAGAATGATTGGTATCCGTTTCCGCCAAGCCGATGGCTGCGATACCTCGGATGCTACCTAAGCCTACCGGCGGAGCGGTCATCCAACCGTCTATGGCTCATTTATTCCATTATAATTCGGCCTCCCGACCCCGCAGATATAATGGTCTTATTTCTCTGGAGTCGTTTTGCTGGATTTTCCATTCGCGCAAATTGCTAGACCTGGACATATTACATCCTGTTCCCAAAACGCCAGCTGGGAGGATCTGCAACACCGTGTATCGCATTCTCTCTACGGATTCACAGGTAAGCCTTCCGCTCTGTGTCCGGGTCATAGTCCATTCATTATTTGTCTCGAGGGTGCATTCACACGAAGAGAAGCTATCAGCGGAGACAAAGAAATTCTTCCGCACTTCCTCGTGTCGACATGCGCAAGAGTGGTTCTCTTAGGATCTCTTCGACTTCTCATTACAGCTCAAATTCGCCACTGATTGGGCCCTCGAACATCTAGGTCTTTGATAGCTCCCCTAGTCTTGATCAAGAATGTTGCCTTTGGAACTCGTCATCGCTATCGCGGACCAAGTAAGTTCTCTGATCAATGAGAGCTCTTGGGGATACCCGCCAACTGACATATCGCTAGCTTGAAACTGGCCGCGACTACCTCAACCTCACACGAACTTGCAAGACGAATCATAGATTGCTGGCTGGCCGCCCTTGGAACGAAGTACATATCCACTTTCGCCCATACTGGGTGGAAGGCAGTGGACAATCCACCACAAGATGTAGGGGGATCAATGATGGCTCGGTGCAGATCAGCAGCACGTGGCAAATGACCCGGATTCGCCACAGGCAGTGTCCACTGTCCCCATGTGAGGCATGCGAGATCGAAGCAGCCCTGCTATCTGTCAACGCGTTTCTCGATTGTCGAGCAAGACAGTTTAGTAAAGTTCTTCGAGGCTTGACGCTTTCGGGATGGTTGCCACAGACTCTTGAGTCCGTGAATAAAGACGCCCCTGGCCATACATTCAAAGGTGCTCGAGGCTTGTGCGCTCTCCAGCCAGAGGTTTTGAACATCGAGCTTCGATGGGCGAGTTGGAGTCCGATAATGCTTTCCGGCTTTGATTTGACGAGACTAAGGTCACTCAAGATGCCTGTGAGGGCACCTCTAGATTGCCTCAAGGTAGGAGCAGCTTTCATGGGTATGCCACGTCTGGCAAACCTCACGATCACAGAATTGTCTGACAGTCAGGAATTCGTGGATGAATTTTGTCATCTCGGCGATGGCATTTTGGCTCTCTCTTCTTCCTTACGATCGTTGAACATCAGTATCAGCAACTGCAACCGGGCAGAAGGTTGGGAAAAAGATGAAGCATTCGTGGAGCCCGGGGATGTTGCTTTCTTTTTCAAGAAGTTCTTTCTCGAGCCTTCTTGCGATCGAATTGAGGCACTAGTCAAAGCAAGATACAATGATCCACGGGAGCCTCCGGACGTCAACATACTCCGGAGCTCCAAAGGTTCGCTGAATCTTGAGCGCATATGCTTGAAAAATATTGGCTTGCCATGGTGGTCCTTTCAGACAGTGTTCAATCCAAAAACCGTAAAAGAACTCAATCTGCCAACATGTCGAGTGGCTCCAAATGTCTGGGATGATCTCGGAGAGCATGCACAAGTCCACAAGGTTGCAAACATCAATTATGAGATGCTTTCCGGTCCTTTCATGAGTTTCCTATCAACTCAGCACAATCTCCACTTCCTCTCATTCGCACGGCCACCGGACATTTACAACGTAGCTAACATCAGGTCCAATTTGCTAGATACTCGGGTTGATGTTGCTTCCTTCTCGGTCACAAAAGCAGCGCCTCATCTGGGAAATGGTACGGAATGGGGTAGAGCTTGTGCCAGAAATGCCTGGTTGCTGCAATCAAAAGAATCCTGGATCCAGCACGAACACCTAATCCAGTCTCCAAGTTCCTGGAGCTACTTCGAAGACCTCATACGTTCTCTGAATTCGTATTTCCAGTGCCAGTATCCAAGGAAGTCAGATTTCGTGAAGGCTTTGAGCACCAAGACATCGTTGAAGCATCTGGTGCTTCCTGCCGACATGTTCGACATCACACCGAAATTCATGGCATGTCTCGCGATCGAACTACCAGCACTGGAGAGCATTGAATGGGGCTTCGACTATGCATGTCCGGTGGGTCAATTACTCATGTCTCGTCCTGCACAAAGCCGTATCACTGAAAACACATAGGAACTTCGCGCATGCTTCATAAAGAACTTTCTCCCCAGCCATCCTCGACTCAAGAAGATCACGTTCTTATCCTTAAACCGACCGCATCCCCTCTCACACTTCGACGCGAATGAGTTCCACTCAGCGTTCGCAAATGGGTCTTGTGATCTAGCCCCAGCAGTCCTCAAGTATGTTCGTTATCGTGATTTGAACGGCAAGTCGTATAAGGGCAAATTCACGAAATCGGATGTCTACTACCATCGAAAGACCATGGCCAATGGGACTTGGTGGCTGAAAATTCCCGCGAGGAAGGCAGATAGTATGTTCGAGGATGAAATAACACCGAACATCTGATTGATTGAGAAGGGAGGCTCGAAGGTGAAGAGGGCTGAAAATGAAGAAAGCGATTGCTTTTATGGGTGGTGATAGATGAGATATTGGAGAACATATATCGGGATGGCTGGAGAGGATTTGCGCTCTTTGAGAGAGCCTCTTGACACTGTGCTGGAAACCGAGAAGATGGCCCTCGAGTATCAGGTAGTGATCAAATGGCCCTTGAAAACCGTCTTTCTCTCCTTTGGCGGATCGTAAAGCACCTCCTGCAGAGTCTTCCTTCCTCTTTGACTAGACAGCAGGCCGCCCTCAGCCCCTCCCATATCAAACAGGACAAAATCCGCGGGTTCGCCTATGGCAAATGACCTCAAAGTGTGTCCTATAGACTCAATTGCTCGGCCAGAGACACATTCATACAGCGTTTGAGCGTCCTGTTTCGTTCCAGCATGGTATAGTCCGACGCCCGTGCTGGCAATGCTCAATGGGTCACAGCTTCCGTAGGGCGTGAAGGCGTTACCGACATTGTTAATGGCGATGGCACCCTGCATGCCGTATTTCTGGATCATCTGCGGTATCTGTAACGTACCTCTGACTCTTTCGCCCCCACCTTGACCTGCTTGATCGACTCGAGGTTTTCCCATCATGTAGAGGTCCGAAGTAGGTAATCCGACGAAGTAAAGCTCGAGGTGCTGCACGCGTTGGCTCAGCGCTCGCCAATCTGGCTCGTCATGTAGTGTAAGCCTAGAGCAGTGACTCAGGATAACGGTAGTGTTCTCAGAAGACAATCGGTCTCTCTGATAAAGGCTCATCGACTCGAGCTTTTCGACCACGAAATCTGTCCATGTCTTTCGACTTTCATCTAAATTGTAATCCAAATGAAAATCCAGGTGTACTATACAGGCTGATCCCATCCTGATAGCCCATTCAATGTTCTTCTTCATATTGTCTTCATCATTTTCCACGTATGGTGTAGTCCCTACGACCGAGACATGCTCGTTGAAGACTGCCGCTTCCATGAGCTCTCGATTTGCGGCACCATGGGTTCCCGAATAGATCGGTTCTTGTGCAAAAGCACATACTTGGATATCGCACGCTGTAGCAAAGTACCTCTTCAACTCGATGGCAGCATCTAGGCATTTCATACGCACGATGTGGTCCACTTCCACGAAAGCACGCATGTGAGTCACCCCGGCAGCAATGCTCTCGGCAATCAGCCATTTGCCTCTTCTCAAAAGATCATCTTTGTCGAAGCGTGCTTTTGCTTTGGCCGTGATCTCCATAGCCTCTGCAAAATCGCCTTTGACAATCTCGAGATCCGCAAATTTGGGATCCGAGAGCAGGAAGCATTTATCCAAGTGAATGTGAGCATGGCAGAGCGATGGTGCAACCAGGCAGTTCCTGGCATCTAACACTTTCTCGGGTGTGTATGAGCCGACGCCTGAAGCATGAGAAACGATGTTTTTGATATTGCTGTCTTCGATGTGGATGTCATAACGGACCTCCGAATCCCAACCTTGGGACAAGATTCGAGCGCCGGAGATCACGTCTATCTGTTCACGATGGGGAGAATTGTCTTTTGCCATTGCTCACATCGAAGAGTCTTTCCGTCCTGTTGTCGCGTATATTATGTTGTAAAGAGAAGTAACCATGAATGCCTGGGATATTGAAACACTAAAATCGCAGGCTAAAAGATCGCTAAGAGATTAGGGATTCATATGACACGTGACGTCAGGTCAGACCTACTCGGTCATTTGACAGTCATATATAGCCAAATGACCGCACTGCAAAGGGCTTGTAGTAAGGTGAAGCGTGAGATTCGTAGAATTCAGAGGTATTTAGGGCTGAAATCGAGTATTACTAGTGGTATTTTACCGAGCTAAGGATTAATAACGCCAAGCCTCTATTTACTACGCCCGTCTTTATCAGCCGTATATCTTTCACGGTTAGACACCTACTGTATACGGTTAGCGCTATTATTTGTCAGGTCAAACGGCCTGTCACTGTATGACGTTACAAGACTGTCATAGGGGTCAAATGTCAGTCATTACGCATCCCTATAAGAGATAGTGGGTACTCTAGGTCCTCCACAGCCAGCAAAAACACCCGGATCTGGAACCTAACACTTGCCCCCATCGCCAAGCTTACACTGGTTCGACACTTTGGCTTCTACAGCTCGAGATCTTGACATGTGAAGGGTTGATCTATGGGTTCATGCTTGGAGACATCCGTCAAAGTAGGGCAGTAATAGGGATACAGTAGCTATGGATGGCTGATTCTCAGCTCGAGACAATGAAACACAAGCCTCCATCCGCCCATTATCTTCCTTCGAAATGAGTGTGTCCAGGGATGGGAAGCCGTCAATAACGCCTTCCCATCCACGAGAAATCCCGGTCTTATGCCATTTGCAATCTGTTCAACTCAAGTCTATGCAACCCTGCAACCTGTGAAAACTTCAAAGGCCAGAGCAGGCTTGGTTTGTGGCGCGCAGTCGATGCCAAATCACAATCAGATCAAGGTTGGAATATCGAAGACACATGGGCTTGCTACAGCCTACCAGATGTCTATGCCATTACAAAACCTGATCAGATGTAAGATACCGAAAGACGACTGGCTTATCACCCGGACACTCTGCCATTCTGGACCCCTTTCAAGCTGTGAACGCCAGAAGACGGTGGGTCAATATCCTCCCAAATCATTTACCACCAGTACGGGCGTTGGCCATTCCCGTCACCGCTGCTCCTACCACCTCCCCCGATGCCGTTTCCACCATTCCTAGGCCCACTGGACGGTGGGTTTTGGCCGTAGTATGTCCCTTGAGCTCCGCCAAAGTCCGTACAGAACAAGGCAGGATTTGGTGCATTGATTGGTGGTCTACCGAATTGGCCTGGGAGGAATGGATTAGGTGCAGGGATCGTCGGGTTCGTTGGGGCAAGAGCCGTAGGGATTGCTGGCATGGCATTGGGAGCATATTTTGTGGCGATAGCAGGGACATCTGCCGGGTTTGAGGGATGCATAACTCGATACTGCCATCTGGCGGGATCGAAGGCCGTCCTCGGCGCAGGATTTTCCAGGTTCTGTCGTATCTGAGTGAGACCGTGCTCGTCCTGCCAAAAGCCGTCAGCACCGGGCAAAAAGGAACAAGAATCTATGAGTGCATACTGGCAACACCGTGATTTCGTCGGGTGTTTTTACGCTCATCAATTGATCGGCACGACCAGTGGGCAGCTGACGCCGGAGGTCATCAATCACCGTATCAACGGCGTCCAGATCCCACTTCTGTCCCTGTCTCTGTATACCATATGGAAGGACAGGACGGTCCTGGTTGAGGTCGATATTGTCAAGCATTTGTATAAGCTGGAAGTCTGAATGATCGCAGCCACACTCCGCTCTGAGAAGTTTCAAGATATCGTTTTGGCTGAAGCCATGGGAGAGAGAGTAAATTACCACCAGCCATTCCTCATCTGTCCAAGCCTGGGTGAACACCATTGTTTTCGAAGGAAAAAGTGGTCGTGCTTGAAGGTTCCCAACAGAAAGGGTGAGATCAGTGAAGGCTGGAGCTTGGATGTGGGGCCTAAGACCAGATCTCTTGGACAAAAGACTCTTAATTCTGTCTTCTTGAGAGGGAGCTGAAGTGTTCTGTTGTACGGAATGGAGAGCTAGGTATCCTAGTTTATACCTGCGGCTTGACTGCCCGGCCGGCTCAGGACAGATTCTGTCGAGGCGACCGCTGTGCAAGGCAGTCTTTCAGGCTTGCGCCAATGTGCTACATGAAACTACCGCGGCCCACCATCTTCGGTAGGGTTGGTTCCCATATCCACGTCACCAACGAAATCGTCCACGTGCATTGAATATGTAACATGGGATTAGTGCTCAGGCGTAAGTGTGACCTGAAACCAAAAGGGCAACGGCTGGATGCTCCACTCATCCCAGGGGGCGACCAGTTGTCCGCCATCTCGAAATAGAAAACATTGCTCTTGTGGAAAATCGTAAACACTTCTTCGTACACGGTCCGACAGGTCTGCAGCAAGGCAGCAGGCTTGAAATCCGGCATATTCGCCATTTGTCCAGATTCTTCCGAATCGCTCCCTAGCGCTGCCCGTAAGTGTCCCTTGAGGCGAAGGGCAAATGGCGTAATGAGCACATATCTGTAGATTTGCATCCGCAGCTCGGCGGGAAGAGAGAGAGGAAGGAATAGAGGGTGACCGCCTTGTAGCCAGGCAGGAGGTGACTTGGATCATTTGCGCAATCTTCCCCTGTCATTGGTGCTTCAAGTGCCATTGCCGCCCAGGGTGTTGCAGGAGGAAGAATTAAAGTATTGGGTAGTGGAGGGATGATACACTTAGTGGAAGGTAGACTTCTATTCGTCATAAAGGTGTCGCCCAATCTTCGGCTTTACGGAGCAATCTTGGCCGAGACGTTGCACCAGGGCGGTATACTCGAGGTACTTTAGGAGGGAGATGGCATACAAGTAAGGAAGGTACCTACCTGGAGGTAGTCAAGGGATGTTTGGATAAAATAAGGTAAGCTAAATAAGGCTTAGCTTGATGTACTTGTAAAGACCCGATACGTTGATCGAAGATTGAAAAGTCGAGGCAACATTCTTCGCCTGCCGCCTATGCTGGTACAAATGGCTGATTCATTCGGCTAGCTTTGACCCTTTGTGTAAAGTATTAAAGATGTGAGGGTCATTTACTGCCTTTGGTGTATGTCCTATATCCTGCAACAACTAGAAAACGAAGAATATCCCGTAGGCCGGATTGCTTGTCTGCCCGTAAGAAATGGCCCTGCTTCTCAAATGCTTGCACGCACGAATTCGGGCCACTGCGAGATACTGCCGGCAGAATTCTGCCTTTTTAGCTTTTCTTCCTCGGATCCTTTCGCTGTTTCTTTAGAGGCGACAGCGGAAGCGGAGGCGGAGGCTTTACTTTGGGGTTGAGGATTACGGTTCGTTTCTTCGCTGGTGTCCTGGTCGAGGGCGGCTCATCAGGCTCTGTCTGGTGTGGGGGACGGTTCTGCCCGGGTTTCAGGTGTACAATACTTTCGTTCTTCAACCATGGATGCCAACTATGATCAATCCACGAGAATCCGTCTGGGCCCCATTGCCATTTTTCCTTGGCCCAGATGGCTTCAACAGGAACTGCACCGTACTCACGTGAGTCTCCAGATTGAGAGGGGTTATCCCCGAGAAGAAAGCATTGTCCACGCTCTATCTATAGTAGCTATCAGCGAACGACTCTCGTTTGAAGGCGACGAAGGAGCAGGAATGATACCCGGATGATATACTTTGCCCTGTTGGGTCCTGGATCAACCCATATCCGATCACCTTCAAGGCCTGCTACTCTTTTGATCACACACCCAATGTCAACATCATATTTCCAACCTAGAGCGAAGACCACATCGCCTGGACTGATATCTTGACTACCCACGTATGCATAGGCAGTGTATGAAAAAGCAAGATTGCCGCTGTACGTCGGTCGCATAGAATCCCCCCTCCCAATGTATACATAACCCCAAGGCATAATCGTCATATTAAGCATCCTGATGCATATGCCTTCTCTCTGTGTGAGAAGATGGTAGAAGAAGTTCCCGATGCGACTCTTTACTCTCATGCCGTGGGGTAGTCGTTCTCTTTGCCAGGATCGAAACTGGACGCTAACAGCAATGACAGTTTTAAGAAGCTGCGGAGTATGCTTCAGAACGCACCACAACTTGTCAGGAGTAGACTTGTACTTTCGTGGAAACCTCAACCTCCTCAGCAACTCTTTTCGCTTGGGACCCTGCGAGCTCCGCTCTGTCTCAGTGTATGGGAATATTTCATCTTCATTCTTAGTGCTGTGGAACAGATACTTTTGGATCTGGAAGGCATGTCTTGGTCGTGGTCTGTTACCCCACCGCGGAGACGTGATATTGAGAAGAGGCTGTAGAGGGCTCAACGGAGGCATCACAGCGATTCATCGACTTTCGTAGACGACTCTGCATCGAAGTACAGTCCTTTTGTACAGACACTCTCGACGCCATCGCGGCGATCGAAAGATCGCGCGTCTATGCAACCGAATGTGTCTCCTTGCAGGAAATGGACTGAGGTGTAAGTACAGGCAGGCCGCCAAGCAGGCAGGAATTCGCGAGGCAAAAACCTTTGGAGCAACACCTCCTCGACCAAGGCGTATTGTAGGATTAATAAAACCAACAACAACCAGCTCAACAAGTTATCGAAGTTTATTTTGGTATCGAGACCTTCACAGAGCTCGATATTACTCCTCACGGTCCTTCTCTCCTAGCCGTCGACCCGTTTCTTGCACCATTGCCACAAGCCTCTTTGACGACCAAGCTACTGCCCTCGGGGCTCGACCTTTTTAGCATCTCTGCGCTCTAGTACAGCAGCCATGGATCACTCGCGGGATCCTTGTCCCTGGGTAGCTCTCAGCGACTTTGGTGGCGCATTCTGTATGGGAGTAAGTCTACAGCCCACCTTCCCCAAAGCATCGCCTGTCTCCAACTCTATTATTTTGCCCTTCCAACCATTCTCCGGATAGCTAGCTGAATATGTTTCTGATTCAGGGGATCGGAGGTGCGGTATGGCACGGTGTCAAAGGCTACAGAAATTCACCGTATGGCGAACGTCGAATCGGCGCTCTGACAGCTATCAAAGCTCGTGCGCCAGTATTAGGGGGAAATTTTGGGGTATGGGGAGGCTTATTCTCGACGTTTGACTGTGCGGTGAAGGGATATCGGAAGAAGGAAGATCCTTGGAATGCTAGTAAGTGTTCTCTTGCAGTAGAGAGCAGGGAAGAGGAGCAGGGTGAACAGTGGACTCTAAGCTAATGGTGTCCTAGTCGGCGCAGGATTCCTCACAGGCGGCTCATTAGCTATAAGAGGTGGGTTCAAAGCAGCGAGGAACTCTGCTATAGGATGTGCGATTTTATTGGCCGTGATTGAGGGCGTGGGGATAGGTATACAAAGAATGATGGCGGAGAACACGCGGCTGGATGTACGGATACTTTGTCTTCCCACTTTTCCCAACGTGTTTGTGTTGACAGGAGAAATAGGTACCAGCACCCCCTCCGGCCGTCAGTCCGCCACCAGCAGTGGTGGATTCGCAGAGTCCGATGATTGCTTGATGCGCTTTGCTTTTCTGTTCGAAGATACTCCACTCTGCCACATTTGGCAATCTCTAAGCAACTTGGCATCAGCGAGGATTTATGTGCTCTATAAGGAGGATATTCGATACGGGGGAACTGTATTATACGCTAGATAAGGCTTGGGGGTGGCTCGACAAGGCTACTGACGAGGGGAAAGATACAGAACAATGAGATCCACTTGAATATTGATTGCTCACTAGGGGTTTGATGGGTTGATCTTGAAGACTTGGGAGAGCTGGTTGGGGCTGGATGTGAACCCCAACTACTAACGCCCGAAGTCGTTCTCCCACCTACATCCAATACAGTGAACAGCAGCGAGACAACTGCACTTTGCCTCTATTAGAAGATAGCGATCGAAAATTCATCACTGCCATTGGAGCACATCTTAGGTAGCCATGGTAGTTGGCCGCGAAGACCAGGTGCCCCAACAGAATGGCCAGACAATTTATCACAGTAAAAGGAGGTATTTGACATACACTTGCCAACGCCAATAACCCATACACAGCTGCTGTACATTCCTCTCGTCCCACATACCCATGTAATTCTATTTCTGTGCCCTAGGTCCTGCCACACCAGCTCCTATCACACTTGGTAGCTCCTCTTGGCCAATGCTGGCCATCAACCCAATACCCCAGGTCACCACACCAACAAGAGCAATCGAGAGTCCAGCCAACAGGAAGAATGGTACACTGATATCCTTCTTTTGGCAAGCGGGCCCACCCCAGTACACAGTCTTCACCCTTCCCTCGTCATCTGTGAGTACCGTCTTGGAACATTTGCAGGCAAAACAATCGATAGCGCCGCCGGACTTCTTGTAAGCGGTGCCATGGCCAGAGCAATTGTTGGTCGTGGCGATGCAGGATTGAAGAGTTGGGTGGCAGATTGGGAGGATGCCGTGAGGAAGTGGGGAGGTGGATGCCTGCAGAGGCACAACCTCGGGGGAGGAGGGAGAGGAGGCGGTGGATGGGGAGGAGAGTGGTTCTTCGGGTTGTTGCTGGCGAGCGGATAGGGGCTTATTATAAGAGCCGTAGAGAGAATTGACGCTGCGCTTGGAGTTCTGTGGGGTAAGAGGCATGAGGACTATCGTGGACGAGATTGATCCGCTATTGCGGAGCAGATCACCGATGAAAGTTCTGACGTCAGAGAGTGTTGAGTGGTAGCGGTCACCATCCTTAGGAGTGAGTCCCTGATGGTTGTTTTGTCAGTCACGATTGATCGACGAATTTCTGTTGGGAGTCTGTGGGAAGCGCACCTGAAGGGAAGATACGTGGAGAACGGTCGTCTGTCCATCTGATCCGATATTAAAAGTTTCGCGACCAACGTTGAACGCAGACAAAGTGGGTTGTCGCAATGCTCCACTCTCGTCATGATTCAAACTGTTATACCAACCCTCGCAATCACGACTTTCCTGGGCCATAGTGTCAACTCCATATTGCGGCCCTGGATCGAAGTCGGCTTACCAGGCGAAGGCTACTGAGTCCACCTCGAAGGGACGAGAGTCCTGGAACCTCAAAGTAACATGGGTTCTGCCCCTTGTGCTTGCTTTCCCGGTCTTGATTGAGCAAATCAATAGCCAGTTCCAGGTTTTGTAAACTTGAAGGTTGCGGGTCTATCTTGAAGGCAGGAACAACTGATTGACCGAAGACATCTAATAACGAAAATCAGTTAAAATGTTTAATAACGACCTCTGGTGGTCAGAGGTTACCTTCGTCAACGCCCTCCACAACAAGCAGGAGCTTCTCAGCGCCTTGGGACTTTTCCTCACGCGCAAAGATATGTTGTTTTTCCCCTCCGCATGTGTTTAGGATAGCGAGAGTCGACTCGTCGGCATTTTGGAGGCTGTGATACTGAGACAATCCTAATCGCTGAGCGAGTAGTAGTCGTGCTGTATGAGGAGATATGGAAGGCGGCTCCGCTACCGCTTGGTGTGACCAAGATTCAGACGTGTATACAAGGGCCCCTCCTGCGACAGTGTATGCTTCAAAGGCAGCGCTGGCCCAAAAGAGGCCTGCAAGCGCTTTCATATTGGATCGTGGCTCGAGAGTATATAGTCAGTATAACATTTCCGCATGATGTGGTGATAGACTTTTCGGGTAAACTCCGGATACGTTAAATTCTCAGCCTTCCAAACATCAGAAGGTAGGAAGGTAGGTAGGCACGAGAGTAAGAGCCTCGGAGAAGCGTGAACAATTATATCTGTAGACCGCCTCAACAGTGTTACATCGTGCAATACATCACCCTCATTTCTTAATGTCTGTTGTGAGATTTATGTAACTCCCATCTTAGACTGAGGTGCTCGCTGCATCGGAGCAACGCTGTTTCACGGCAACGAGCTTTGCCCACTCTCTTACTCATGTCCAAATCCCTGCGGACTCTCTCCGTCCTCACTCGTCCATCCAGCTTCTCTCGCCCTCTTACACGCTCCCAACACTCTTTACTGCGGCATAATGGTGACACCACGATACAGCCAGTGCGATTCAAGAGCAACCTCCGAAGGTAGGCCACAAGCAGCCCTGGGACGCTTTTACAGTAGCGATGCTGATGAGAGTTCAAGGCATTCGAAGAGGCTCTTCTACCAGATCGCCATTGTCTCAGCGGTGAGCTACTATCAATTGAGATATGTGGATGTCGAAGAAGAAGAGACGGTGGACAAGGCTGGCCCCCCCTCCAAGATGCAACCAGAGGATGGCGATAAAGCAAAGGACGGCGCACGAGAAGATGGCAAGGTTGATGAAGACGACGTCCAAGTTCCTGAAACTATGCCAGAAGACGCATTCTTTGTTCCATTAGGGTTTGTTCGCCAACGTCCGCATACGCACTATAAAGCTAGCGATCCGGAATGGCAGAGCTTTGTGGAGTTCGGAAGGGATCGTGAAAGACCAACGGCGGTTCGAAGTACGTTCACTTCCTCACGTTATCGACACTTACACCTAATGCTGTGTTAGGGGAATTGGCAGACACCGTCTGTTCTAGTTTCGCTGGCCACAAAGTCTTACAGAGACAAATTGGGGTACCCATGAAATTGGGGAGGGTCTGGCTGGACATCGTTTACCCACATGGCCCAGCACCAGAGTATGATCGATCAGGGTATGCTAGACCTCTCGTTGGAGGAAATCGAGATGGACTGCGAGCTGACGCGCGAGTAGCTTGGAGATCGCTGATGACTACATTGCATGGACCACTAGACCAGTCTCTGCTTTGCAAGTAGCTCGTCTAAATTCAGCGCTCAAGCCTTTACCAGCCGTAAAATCGTTGTGGGCAAGTTCCAGTACCTACTGCTCTTTGCAACTAGCCAGGCTCAAACAATTTCTCAACATTGGCCCGACATCATCAAATACCAGCCCGCAATTACCTGTGGGGGCCGTAACAGTTGATCAGCTTCGAGAGAACAGCTCGAAACAGGAGACTCAAAATCGTGCCCAAATGGACAAGATGTCTGATCCTAAGTCCGATGTGGGTAGCACCAAGGGCTCGGCAAAGTTAACATCCTCGGACGGTTCCAAAATATACGGATCGCTGCCATCTTTACTACAACCAGATTCAGATATAGGTCCTGCTATAATGGAGTTCAAGCGGACCCTAGCAAAGAATTGGCATCCTCCTGGTGCATTTGGAGAACGAGGGACTTTCGTCGTTCGCGGGGATGTTGAGCTGAAAGGACCGAAAGGCTCCTGTGTTTTCGAAGTTGTGGCTGACTATCATCCTCAAGAGGCAAGGTATATGACAGTGAGGGCAGGCCTCAAATACTTCTTGCGCAACCGGGTACGCCCAAGGCCACTTCCTGAGCCGAAGAAGAGCAGCTCTTGAAGTCGATTTGTGAGCGTTTGAGCGAATTCTTCCGCGATTTTACGCTTCGAAATGGGCATGCCATGCATAGCGCAGGCGACAAGGGCTTAGATGCTTAGGGCATCGCAACATCAGACAGAGATAGGGATCTTTGAGCGATTTCGGTTTAGGAGAGACATCCAAACAGTCATGTGTCTACGACCAGTGTTGGAATGGATAGAATGCTTTGGAAGTAAGCTCTTTCATCTCCTTCCGCGAATTGGAGCCAAATGTTCTACTTGGGGTGCCAGATTTGCACTCTACGTTGGCATATGCTACTTGGAATATTGATCTATGCACGCATTCGAAAAAGTCACAAGGCATTCGCACAGCAAAATAGAGCCGTTACTCACAGCAGGCTTCATTGTTCGGGCCAGTCCTGCTTGCATGTTGTTGATGATATGCATGCCCTGCTTGCTCTGCTGGGTGTCCCTCCATTGATTCGAGCCCTGCGCCAGAAAACCATGCGGCTACAGCTTGAGTGGTCTTGCTGACCCAGTACTGCTCGCAAATGCTTTATGACGTCCGTGCCTTGCCTGCTCTTTTGCATATTTTGCCCAATGCCTTATGCCCAAAGCTAGAGATCTATGAAAATATTGCTTTGGGTGACTTTGATGGTCCATCGTTCATTGCACAGCCTAGATTCAGTTGACTGGCAAGGCAATGACAGCAGGCGAGGTAAAGAGCCAGAGATTTACAGCCCTTATGATCCTTCGACCATGCTGCTGTGCCTGGCCACTTGCGTGCCCTGGATCCAGACTCAATCATAGGTCTCCGGATGCTTGAACAGAGCCCTCTCATGCTTGCTGAATGCTCCGAAGCTTCTAGACAAGAGCCAGCCTCAAAGGGCGCTAAAAGCGGGTAGCATAAACAAATGTTCACACGAACGGACTTCCCAAAACCTCACCGTCACCCCTTTCTACCTTTGCGTCCTCAACTACACGTTCGACCCGGTGCTCAAATCATCAAATTCTGATAGCTATCGCTCGAAACAGCAACTTGTAAGTGTCCCTCTAGTTCTCCAAGTGATCTGCGCCGAGCAATGCTCGGCTTTTTGTCATCCTCCTCATGCTGTTTTGAGCGAGGCCTGTCACAAACCTCACCACCCACATCCACATCCACAGCGAACACCGCAACTATATATCATATATATATATGATACGATGCTTATGCGTGAGTTACCAGCAGGTCTCCGTCACCGTCACCGCCACAACAACTCACCAAACCGGAAGATCTAGAAGCAAGGCATCATGCCGGCCGAATCTCCCTTCGCGTCCGCAGCTGAGCTCCCCACCTGTACTAGTACGTACCCCTACCTCATTCTACTCCCTACCACAAGACGCGTCCTACAAGCCAGGACAAACCTCCTTACCCCTCCCCCAACTTTGCCCGTCTCACCACGCGCGCTCACGTCACATCCGCCTCAAAGCCTCAACTAACTCCGCCAAACCTCACCCCCTAGGCGACGCCTCCCCCGTCTCCTCCTCCTCCTCCGCCGGCCCCACCCGCGCCAACACCCCGGACCTGGAGCAGCACCCCGACCTCCGCGCCGTCAGCGACCGCGAAGAAGACGTCCTCTTCTTCGGCGGCGCCGAGATTCTCGACAACGACAACGACGACGACGCGGGAGAAGAAGGCCCGAGCGTGCCGTCATCGTCCGAGCGGGGCGGAGCGGTGCAGGGTCCGCTGACGATTATGGAGACGTTGGTCCGTGTGGAACGGGCGAGTGAGGTGGCTGTGGAGGGTATGTCCGCTGCTTATTTACTCATTCCTTGATTTCCTTACTCCCTCCCTCCGCTTATCTTATGAGACCCTTGCTGACCTCGTTCGTGCCGTGCTAGACAGCGCACAGCTCGAGATGGCGGACGGAGGGCAGCGGGCCCGCGTCGTGGCTCGGAGGATCAAGTGGGCGCTGGTGTATAAGGTGACGGTTCTTTTCCTGGCGGTGGCTGGGACCGCCCTTTGCGTGGGCTTGTTGGTGGGGGCGTGGACTTGATGGGGGAGGGGGTTGGTGGGCTGTGATCTGGCGGGGTGGATGGGGCGAGTGATGGGGCTTGAGAGGACGTCGTCGTCGTCGTCGTTTTGTGTGCTAGATGTCTCACAGCTGAGGCTGTGAAGTTGTTGAAAAACAAAGTGCTTGTGAATGCATTTCATGGTGGTTCGTGATGTGACTGTTTATGGGGATGTTTCCCGTTATGTTGATTTTATCACGTCTCTTTCTGTACTTCGACCTGCTTGTTTCTAAAGACGGTTTCCTTTTCACTGGGTGCATTTTTGCGATGTCACCCTTGTATTGATTGGATCTTGTGGCAAAGTATCTCGCAGTTCTCTCGTACATGTTTGAAGATCGTGGTTCCCCAGAGAAGGTCAGCCACTGAAATTATTTAACCTTCCTCATCCCCTTCTTCAACCTCTTTGCCTCCTTATCCCCAATTTCCTCCCTATACACATCCTCTGCCGTCTCCCCCTTCCTCTTTTTATCCTTCCTGTCCGACTTCACACTCACAGTCACCTCCTTCGCCCCGCCTCTAGCCTGAGCGCGCTTGACTTGCTTTTCTGCTTCTTCCCAGCCGGCTCCGCCAGTCTCAATCTCATATTTGTCGAGAGGCAGAGCGTCGATGAGCGCTCGTTGTTTCTCTTTGAGCTCTATATCGACGTCTTCGCCTCCTTCGCGAAGTTCGTCGTCTAAATTCGACTTGAGAGGTGCGAAGCTTTCCACTTTTTTACCGTCGATGCCGTCGTCTTCGGCGGCAGGAGCAGATTGAGGCATCGTTTCTACGACTGCACCTTCGAGGAGTCGGCGGAAGTGAGATGATACTTTACGAACGATCTTCACGAACATGGCCAGTAGTTGACTAGATGGCAACCCGAGCTCCTTCTCCACATCCTCTAGTACCTTCCTTTGCAGGCCAATTGCAAGCAGGATGCTTGATTGTACGCCTGTCAGACTGACGGCAGACTTCAACCTGTTTGTAAAGTGAAAGTGCGCGATGGGCGGTATCATGTCGAGGATGACGTGGTAGTCGAGCATGTTATTTGCGTAGCTGTCTAGACGCTTGAGGTCGAATGGTGAGAAAGAATCGTCAAGCTCGGATTTGGTGAGAGGCTGGATGGTGTATGAGGTGTCAAGCTTTGCGCCTCCGTTGGCAGACTCGATGATCGAGAGCGCGAGTATAGAAGGGAACGCACGGAATTGGAAAGAGAGAAGAGAAAGGAAGCGTTTGTGGAAGTCTCGAGCGTAGGCTCCAAGCCAGGCGTTGTCGGTGTTGCCGCTATTGTTGGAGAGTGTGCGTATCATAACGCAGGAGTGCTCGCCTGTGAGCTCGTTGGCTGTTTGGCGTAAGTAGACTGGGGCGAAGGAGGCGCGTTTCCAGAACTTGTGGAGGGGTGGTGTGAGGCCGAAGGAGACGCCTAGGTAGTCCAGAGCCTGAGGACGGCGTTCAGAAAGGCGAGAGAAGAGAGCTGGCATGTTGTTTATGTCGCGGACTTTGACATTATCAGATTGAAGTGTTGAAGATTCAAGTTCAGCGTCCGTAACGCGGACGATGGATTCTGCTTCGGTAGGTTCGGCTTCAGAGAGATTGGCAAATTTACCTTCGTAGAAATCTTTGAGGAGAGTGAGGGCGCGGCTGCCATAACCCATGTTAGTGTACTCTGGGTTGGTGGCGATTCGGACTATCCGAGCTCCAGACAGTCCAGCAAATTCCTCGTCCTGGAATTGTTGGCTGACCAGCCATGGTATCAAGTCGCCACCTGCTCTTTGACCGCGACTCAAGCTGCTCAAGACGCTTTGCTTGCTGATCTGACCCTCTAAGGCCACCTGTATTACGCACAGTGGCTCCGGTAACCTCGAGCTATCGTCATCCACTGGAGGAACCAGGACAAATAATTGATGGGCCGGAGCATCGCTCATCAACTGAAGGTCGTTTGGAGAGTTCTTGTAGTGGCTTGCAACGTACAATGCTATCATCTGCTGGAGGAATTTCTCGGAGACAGGGTGAAAAGAGAACAGGGTGTCTCGATTGACGTGTAACAATTCGCACTTGGAGGGATGAGGACACCCTTGGGTATTGAGGTTCGAGTTTGGAAGGGTAGCATCGAGACAGAGGACTTTGTTCAACCACTTTTCGACTGAGTCTCCCTGGGAATATCGTATGGGTTCTGTAAGAGTGATCTCTCGTAATGATCGACCCCTGCTGGAAGCATTGTCGCCGTTGGCTGCAGCTTTGCCAGTCGATCGATCAGCTATCTCTGCATCTTCTGCACTGTTCAGCTTGGAGCTTCCTCGAGACTGATCTCGTAGTTGCTGTATTAGTTTGAGAGACAGTGATCTGCCTGTGCCTTCGTAGCCGTTGATGGTTGAGGCCATGAAGACAAGATATGGACCCAACAGCTTCCTGACCAGAGGAAGAGGTATGGCTGCGGCCTCGTCAATCACAACCAACTCTGCTTGGCCCAGAGTATACGCGTCTTGAGGTTGGATGTACTGTATGGTCTGTCTGTGTTGTCGGTGGACATTCACTCGTACAATGGCTTTGTTGAAGTCTGGATTAGTCGACTGGATGATAGTATAGTCAACATGATCCAGATAGTTGAGGGCGTCAAAACCCTTGAAGACAAATTCAAACAATGTTTTAAGGTTCTCAGGACTAGGAGACGTTATGAAGATATTGCTATATCCATGTGCTATAGCTGCTGCGATTGCTACCCCAAGAGCGGCGGACTTTCCTCGTCCTCTTGCTGCTGTCAAAGTTACAGTACTTCTCAGAGCCTTTTCAGCAATCGCATCCACAAATGTTAGAAGCGCTTTCGCTTGGTCTACCGTTTTCGCTATCTTGACCAAGAAGCCGACAGGCTGGGTATCCACTAAGCTCTCTTTGATACTGTCGAGTTCTCTCCTGGCTTTTGTGTTGCCTTCGTCTTCTGGATTTGGCGGAGGCAACGGTTTGACGTTCTTACCTCCAGATATAGGCAGGACATTGAGCTCATCGTCTACGAACAAGCAAGAATCGCAACTGCCCAACGAGAGCACGAAGCGTTCGTTAAAGCGGGCAACCACATCGTCATGTGCCTCGGTCCGGTATCTAGAGTGAATATCCATTGACAGAGTATAAAGCTGTTTAAGACTGGTCATTCCCTTCAGAAGCAAGAGAACCATGCCGCCCCCTTCCACAGTCTCAATTGTCCGCGCAAGTAGGTTGGGCGTAATAGCTTCGAAGTCCTGTAGTATACACATGCCGAAAGTGTTCCCCAATATCTTTTCTGTCTCTTTGTAGTAGACATATCTTATGTTGTGCAGCGTAAGGAAGAGTTCGAATGGGTCCTCGGTGTTCGCTTCCCGAATGCCTCGCTTGATCTCTTTCTTGATCTTGTTCTCTCGCTTCTTTCGATGGCTTGTAAACCCCAAAAGGTCTTTCTTGTACGCCCATAGAACGGACTTGTTTTGCTTGATGTCGACACTCGAGAGGATGTAGTGTAAGTGGACGATGACATCTTTCGCTCGGTCTCCCACGACGACGAAAAAGCTTCGTTTTTTCTCCTAAGCGCAAGTCCAGTCAGTTTGAGCTGACTATACTTTGGTGGTCACATAAGCAGACGTACCTGTACTGCATTACGAATCAAAGCGGGGATGCGCGAGTCACTTTGAATCGTCAGCTTCGAATTCTCGCCTTCAACAGCATGGAGATGGGCATACACCGCTTTTCGAGGCATCCTTGCCGGATTTGGGCTGCAACTTTCCAGTAAGCGAAGCTCAGGGGCACAGATACGTGCAGAGTATCAACCACGTTCAACCATTAATCATCTGATCCGTATTCCAGGAACATAATTCGCTTCATTCTGATGTGGGCACGAAAATGGCTTCGGAAGAAATCCGGGAAAACTTTTTGATATCTTCAGGGATCAGGGATTTGTAAGATTACCCGTTTTGCTAAGCTTTTCCAGCCGCATGGCTCCCGCAACAGCCACCTTGGCATCTTGGCTTGGCATCTTGGCATTATCAAAGTCTGGGCCCCTCCTTACATTCTTCATTTTCATGCAAGGGTTGTCGCTGTTGAGACATCTTTTAGATGCCGAGCAAGGCTAGTGCGCTCTCTCATGGGTTAGTATCGCCCTACTCAAGCCAGGTTTGGGAATATCAACAGAGCTAATCCATGTTTCAGCGCCGTTTTGCTTAGCACCATCATTACATCTGTAACATATGAGCAATCATCTGTATTAGGTAGGAAAATGTGGTCGAAACGGCTGCTTCTCACAAGCTGATCAAAGCCAGCACGGCCTGTTCAATCTTCTATCGTCCTTCTGTCCATACTGGGCGTCAGCTTCTTCTTGTTGCGCAACCAGATAGCCTATTTCATATCTCCTTCTTCTTCTTCTGCTTCTGGTACAAAAACATTCGACTTGCCTTTGCAAGAAAGCCCTGTTTCCAATGGACGTAAAGACTCCAACGAATCTCGTTCTGGGCAGTTCAGCGCCACTCAGCCTCGCTCAAGGAGAATAGTCGTTATCTCCACGGCCATTGCTATTTCGTTACGGGTCGTACTTTCTGGTTTGATCTTCGATAATGCACAATGTTCAATGAACTCTGTTGAGGTAAGACATCCGTCATTTTGAACCCAATGCATGCTGATTTTTCCCAGGGTTATCTACCTTTGCTTCTTGCTATTTACGACTATTGGTACATTCAGCGCAGGCGGCCAGAATTCGACGATGCATCCCGCGCGAATGGACGAACTCTTCGAAAGCTCTGGCCAGCTGCTTTCTTGACAGCTGCGTACACTGTCAGGGCATCTGTAATGGATGCTCCCAAATCCACTTACATCTGTCCTCTCTCTTCCAGCGCGAACACTGGCATTCCTGTCATGCAGGTTCTGTCAATCCTCCTCGATTGCTATGTTTTAGTCGCTATCTCGGGGGTCGCAAGTACAGCAAAAGTGGACGCATCCCCGACGAGCGAAAATCCCTCGGTGGTCGTGGGTTCCATCTTTTTGGTAATTTCGACATCGTTGTATGATCCGAACGGTTCTTAGTGCTAAAATCTCATAGCTTTCCTCCGTGGTCTTGCTCATCGGTGGTATCTTCGCACTCGGTATCAACCAAGTCTACTGGGTAGAATTGTTTGGCGTCGACTTCTCGTATACTGGCAGTCTAGCTTGGCAAGCAGCCTTGTCTTCGCTAACAGTCGTCGCCGCGCTTCATATTGTATGTAAAATATCATGAAGGAATGCGGAAGGTACTGACCGAGCATAGTCGATTACTCATGGTTTGTTGCACCTTACAACGTTCATATTGTGCATCTGTATTTATTGTACTGGACTTGCCTTCGCTTCGACTAACCGGAATGTATTGCCTCCTACCGGAATGATGCCACTGATCGCATTTCTTGGTCTATTTCTCCTTGGTGCTGTGCTATATGTACATGCCGAAGCAGTACCTGGAACCGGACGAGGCCAACCTTCACAACGTCTAAGCCGGCGGATGCCTTTGTCCATATCCTCCATACTAGTCCTCCTAGTTTTATTTCTTGGCTGGTCTTACGATCTCCAAACTCAAGAACTTGTCGCTCATCCGATTGACTGGCTTATAAGTAAAGCCGAGAAACAATCGAACGACTGGGCAAGTCAGGCTTCTGTCAGCATGAATCTCGCCGAGTGCGTCCAAGAATATCAGCGCCGCTATCAGCGCCATCCGCCTCCAGGGTTTGACGCATGGCATCGTTACGCAACAGCGAGGAACTCTGTTGTAATCGACGACTACGATACTATGATGGAAGACCTGCTACCATTCTGGGGTATCTCGCCTGCTGAGATAAGGCTGCGCACTCAGCAAGTGATTTCTGATCCATGGAACGAGGTTTCTGAAATAATAATCCGAAACGGACACGCTGGACTAGGGCCCGACTTTCTGCCCACCCACCGATGGATGCTCGATGGCGTAGTAAACCTAGTGAAGGACTTCTCAAGTTACCTGCCCGACATGGTTGTGACGTTCAACCTCAACGATGAGCCAAGGGTAGCAGTTCCTTACAAAGAGATGCAAAAACTTCGAGGCCTCGCTATCGGATCTCCCAAGCACCTTCGCAAAACGGTACAACACAGTTGGAGCGCTGATCGAGTTGCGACCTGGCATATACCAGAAGACTTGGGTTCTACGCGGCCATTTGAAGATCGCTCCCGCACCAACGCTTTCTCCACAAGCACCGCAGCCTGCCCTCCCTCCTCTCCTGCTCAACGAGCAACAACCTGGGACAGTAGAAACCTCTGCACATCGTGTGCCGCACCTCACTCCCATGGCGTTTTTCTAAGCAACTGGACCCTCTCCGCCTCCCCCTGCCATCAACCTGACCTTCGCAATCTCCACGGCTTCTACCTCAGCCCCGCGGCCTTCAAGCCCTCCCATCAGCTTCTCCCCATCTTCTCCCAGAGCAAAGTCCACGGCTACGCTGATATACTCTACCCCTCTCCATGGAACTACATAGACAAAATCGACTACAGCGCGTCGGACGAACATCCAGACCCCCCTTTTCCCGAAAAAGAAAACACCCTCTTCTGGCGCGGCGCCACCTCCGAAGGCGTCTCCCGCCACGGCACCTGGAAAGGTATGACCCGGCAACGTCTCGTCCACCTCGCCAACAACCTCACCGCCGTCCCAACCATCCGCTCTCCGACCCTGCCCATCCTCCTCCCGAATGCCCAGGGCAAGTACACATACCAGACCCTCGCCCACTCAAACCCCATCGCCGCGCTCAACCTCTCCCTCGACATCTCCATCGTCGACGGCATCGCCCGCGCCTGGGACAACGACGGCGCGGCGCAAGACGCCGAGTTCGGCTTCGCGCCCCCGACCGACTTCCAGGACCACTGGCGCTACCGCTACCTCATGGACGTCGACGGCGCCGGCTTCTCCGGCCGCTTCCTGCCCTTCCTCCAGAGCGGCAGTCTGCCCTTCCGCGCCGCCATCTTCCGGAGCTGGTGGGACGGCCGACTGACGGCGTGGAAGCACTTCGTCCCCGTGGACGTGCGCTTGCACGGGCTCTTGTCCACGCTGGCGTTTTTCGCGGGGACGGCGGGTGGGGCCGCGGGCGCTGGGGGCGCGGACGGCGGCGCCGCGGGCGGGATGACGGAGGGGAACGTGAAGGCTGGAGCGATGATTGCGGAGGCGGGGAGGGAGTGGGCGGGTAAGGTGCTGAGGAAGGTGGATATGGAGATTTATATGTTCAGGCTGTTGTTGGAGTGGGGCCGGTTGACGGACGATAGGAGGGACGAGATTGGGTTTGCGGTTTGAGAGGGGACGATGGGATCGGGGATGGTATGCCTAGCCGTTCTCTGGGGGGGTTGTAGATTACATTGTTCGCGGAGGATTTCAAAATGTTGTCAACATAATCATGCTGATGCAGGCGTAGTGTAAGAGTACGTAATCCCCAGGAGCAAATCGTCTCGCAGGGCTTGAGAAACAGATACAAGAAGTTTCCCTTTCAAATTACAAAAAGATAGGCGGACTGCGAGACCCATCACGCATGACGGTCACGAAACAGGCTTCTGCGTATTCAGCATCGATGTGCGTTGTCTATGTACGCAGGGTATCAAAGTGCTTGGGCGAGCTCGTATCTGCTGGCTTCCCTCTCTGCTCGGCGTACGTAGGGCTCGCGCGCCGGTTGCCTTTGGCGCGGGATGCGAGCAGTGGCTGGGAGGCTCCTGCAGGTGCGGGTGGGGAGTCGCTTGTTGGTGGAGGGGCTTTGGTCTCCGGTGTCTGTTGCGCAGGACTGGGGTTTGGCTCATCGTTCCCAAGCCATTTTCAAAAGCCCGGATGATTTCGCACTATCGGACTCTATTCCCGCCATCGATACCATACTTGCTCCAGACCCGAGTCCTCCACCTGGACTCAGCCCATCAGGCGGACGGTCTTCCCCACTCATTTCAGCCTCCTTCCTCAGCTTCTCATATCTTTCCCCGGTCTCTTTTAGTAACTGCTGGATCTCCCCTTCCCTAACTCTGATATCTTCCTTCTCCTTCTTAATTTCCTCTAACTGCCGAACCTTCTGCATCCGCGCATATTCTATGCCTGCCAGCCTCTGCCTTAGCTTTTCCAAACATCCGGCCAACGTAGGCAAAGGCGTGATCCGCGGTGGTGTTCTTGGTCGCCTAGGTCTTGTACTTTGTTCGTCTCTTCTGAGTCCATCCATGCCTTTCCGAGTTTGCGCGGCTTCGTAGGCGGCATGGCGCTCAGCTTCACTGTCGTCATCCTCGGAATCCGCGGAGTCATTGCCTCCTTCGGCTTCATTGATCAAATTTCGCATTTCGGCCTCCTGTCGTTGTTTCTGCTCTCGTTCCGCTTTCTTGCCCAGTGCAATACGCCCATCCGAGACAAACTCGTCGAAGCCTTCTGCTATGTCCTCGTCATCACGGACTAGGCGCGTTTCTTCCTTCTTCGATGGCTTTTGTTTCGCATAAGGTAAGAGCGATCTCTCGCCGTCGGAATCTTCTTGCTCCTGCGCATCCTCATCGCTGAGGCCGATGAAATCTTGCTCCTTGGCCAGACGAGCACGCCGTGCTTTCTTTTCGCGGACCTCAGCATCCGTAGGGATGGCGGAGCTTGATTCTTGGTATGCGAGATCTGAGCCGAATTTGGAGGCTAGATCGAGCGCTTTGCCATCTTCGTCGTTGACGTCGGATTTGGAGCGTAGATTTTTAGGTGTAGAGGGCGTGGAAGTCTTGAGCTCATTGAGGTGGTCAGCACTGTAGCTTGGCCTGTCCTCTGTTTGCCTGAAGCCGAGATGTTCTGACGAGAGATTGTTCGCTATGGTCTTTCGAAGGGCGTTCTTCTCAACGGCTTGTCGGCTCAGGCTAGATTTCTTGGGCGTGAATACTGCAGGTCCACCAATGTCATCATCTTCGGTCATAGAAGTACCACCAGGTCCGAATGATACTCTAGCAGACGACTGCTTCTTGGTTTTTGAGGATCCACGAGAGGCGATTGAGGGACGTATGACGGTAGGAGTGTTTTCTGATGAGGCAGTCAGCCTGTTTGTTCGCACGGACACATTAGAAAACTGTGCTGAAAAGCTGGTAGTGGAACTCTTACCTTGGTCCTGGCTTCCTAATCCAGGCCGCGCATCCTCCATGTCTTCACCTTCTTGCTGCCCAACCTTTCGAGCCTGGCGCCTGGCGCCGAATGAGGACCTCATGGTGCGGAAATGTGCAAGACCCCAAACTTCTACCGGCGTAATGGATCTCTCTCAGACAATTGCGCTTCTTCCAAGGGTGATACCTCTCCCAAGGAGCAGGTTTAGACGTTGCTTGACCCGCGAGTCGAAAGTGAAGTCACAGTCCCTTAACATCAAAGGCCCCACTAGCGCAGCCCTACCCCTTGGCATCAAAAGCTTCTCCAAACAGCTCACGTTCACAGCTCCAGCTTCGAAGAACACCACAACCACCTTCACCATGCCTCAAGCTCAGCCCGAGCTCAAGAAGGTAGGATCACTCACCCCGACCATATCCCATCTACAGCCCTCGTTAACTGTGTCCCCAGTACCTCGACAAGCGCCTCTTCGTGCAACTCAACGGCAGCCGAAAAGTCATCGGAGTCCTGCGCGGTTACGACGTACGTCGCTCCTACCTCCTCTCCCACGCCCCCGTCTACTGCGTGATTCCTCAAGACTGCGGTATAGACGTTCTGACATTCGGTGCGGTTGCAGGTCTTCCTCAATATCGTCCTCGACGAAGCGGTAGAAGAGAAGGCTGGAGGGGAGAAGGTGAGGATCGGGATGGTGGTACGTCGCCTAGCTACACCTACATCGAGGGTCGCGCGGAGGCAGATTCTTGGGGGAAGGGTTTGGCTGATTGTGGGGGCAGGTCATAAGAGGTAATTCGGTGGTTATGCTAGAGGTATGTTGGAGCTCTGCGCGGGTGGGACAAGTGCGTGGGACGGTGCAGGCTGACCTTGTGAACACAGGCTCTGGAGCGGATTGGTGGTGGGGATAGGGATAGAGGATGAGGGATTTGATGGAACGGAAGAGATACGTGGTCTATGCGAAGACACAGTGAGGGCCGAATTACGAGACTTCTATACTTGGCTGTCTGTTCGCATGACAGGAGAGTCAGGCATGGGAATGCACGAGGTAGAACAGCGCTGGTCCGGAAAAATCTTTACATCTGCTCTAGATGAAACTTTTGAATATGGCGACTGCAAAGAAGCTCTCCCATTACATATCTTAGATACCCCAATTACTTGCAAAGATATCGTCGTCCGCGACTCGTTGAGGTCATATATGTACTTGATTTAAACAACTATCGTCTAAGTCCAACTGTATGCTTGCTAATTCCCATCATATTCCATCGCGTCATTTCGAATCGTTCCAAGAGTAAGGTTGAGTCTTTTTTACCACCTCCGACCAATCAATTCAGCCTGCGCTCAGAGGATATCACAAAGAAAGACATCAAGAAGCAAAATATGTGGTGTACAAGTATGTCCGGGCAAGATATGCAAATATGTAGCAAGAAGAAGGGCTCAGATCATCGCTTATTAGAATATTGGCCACGTGAATTCGTGGGTTCGTAGAGAAGCGTAACCAACCAAAGAACGCCTCGTGTCCCCATTTTCGTACAGCCAGCCGACGCCGAGATATAGTGTTGCCTCATCCTCGGTCTACTTCGACCTCTTTTTCTGGATAGGATTGTCCATCTGGAACGTCCCGTTCTCTTCCAAATCCCAGCGTCGCTTGTTTCCGGCAGGATCATATGTGCTAGCGACGGTGTCTCGCCACATGCTTGATGTGACGAAGGAAGGCGCTGGAGCCGTATAGACAGGCAACTGTGGCGCTGTTTGATGCCTGGATAAAGATGGCATGCTTGAGTGCACGGGATAGGACGCCGGTTGCTGGTAGAAGGTGTGAGACGGTTGAGAAGAACTTGAGGGAGTATACATTTGTGGAGACTGTTGAGGTATAGATATATTACTCTGCACTGTCGAATCGGCCGCCGGTCCGAATGCATTGTTCCACTGACTATCACTTCCGTCAGCATGGGTTGAAGTTTTGGGGCGCCAGATACGTACGCGATAATGGGAGTAGGGTTCCATTCCTGCCCAATACTCATTGGCGTGGTATGCATTGGCATGGATTGCTGCTGACTGCTGGCCATCATCTGCATCGAGCCAGACATTAGGAGACCATCCTTGGAGTCCTCGAAGCTCAAGCCAGCCGACGAGATGGGTGGGGTGATCGGCGCTGTGTGGTATGGCATCTGGGTTTGATGCCCGAGGGATTCATGGCGAGTCAGCATGGGATGCTGTATATTTGTATCAAGGGGGGGACTGGGCTGTAGCCCCCCTGCACTTGGGCTTGGACTTTCAAAAGGAAATCCCCTTTTCAACTCAAAGGGCCTGTTCACATCTGCGGAAAACGCTTCTCTGAGCTGGTTAACCTGCATCTGCATTTCTGGCATGGGCCAAGCTTCCATGCACTGTTCGAGTATGCGCATGTGCCGCGCAAAATAGTCCCTTGCGTCAGTGTTGAGCTCTGGATCCGGTGAGGTGATGGCCACCTAACGCGATGTTAACGACCGCAGGTTACCCTCCAGTGATCAGCTTAGCCTTACCAAATGTATGAGGGCGCAGGTCAGAACAGCATATATGACAAAGTTGATGCCGCGCTGCATGCACATCAATCCTGGCAGTCCGAATTGTTTAAAGATACCTTGTTGTAATCGGCACATGGCCTTGGCCGAGGCATAAGATATCAACATCTGCCTCTTCCAACTACCATCAGCAAAAGCGCCCGGGACCGACAGCTGGGGTCTGCGAAGCATGATCACAGTCAGATGGTAATATGTATGCATATTCCCCACAAAGTGGCTCGGTAACCAGGGCGGACTATCGTCTTTAGGCCAGTCAATTTGAAGGTCTCGCGGAAGTCCATCGACCCATTGCGCGAGCTTGGTCTCCAAAGCCACGAAATTGGGGTCAGACATCCAATCATTGGTGGTACAAGCTTCCTTGATATCATGCATGCGCCGTACAGTCTGGATCATTGACACGAGGAAGGTAAATTGCCGTGATGTGCGGTAGTCAGAGTTATCGAGACCAGGTGTAGGCTTCAGCACAGTGAGGTCTACAGTCGATGGCTGTACTTGCATGTCTCTCCGGCCTATCATAATTTAGCATGGCACCGGCTTCTAGTTGCTGTTCATACACACCTTGAGGACCACCAATCATCATCTCGCAAGCAAAAATTATCTGCCATAGCCGTGTTTTGATGAAGCATTCTGTAAGGTCCGAAGTGCATGTTCCACCTGGGACTTGATGCTCACTATAATGCTTGTCAAGCTTGAGCTCAAGAGCAAAGGTAACCAATTTCTTGACAGTCATCCACGAACGAAAATAATAACCTCTTTTAGGAGCAGCCTCTCGGCCTTTCAACAATAGCAACATGGCTTGGAGTGTGCTTAATCGGGGAGTGTCCATAAAGCAATCCTCGTGCTCTGCGTACGAAATCAGTCAGGCACTTCCCGAGATTGAAGATTAGGGCTTACTGGCAGCCAACGCAAGCCATTGAGCTCCTTCGGCATCATCATCAGAAGACACACTCCCAGCACAGGCAAAGATCGCCTCCAGAATGAGCGGCGAAATAGATTCGGGTTTGTGTCGCCATTGCTCATAGAAGTATGGCTTGCTGAGCACAGGAACGTACGGATGTACTTGTTGGAAGAATAGCTCAAACAATTCTAGGCATCGCTCTTTGGACGGCATAAGCGCTTGAGGAATCCTGACAGTACCGAAGGGTTTAGTCTCCGGTAGCCTTATTTCGACATCTTCGTAGGCAGGAGTATCTGCTAGAGCCTTTTTTTGATTAGATATGTAACTAGCTATTTCGAAATCAGCAAGGTGCACTCAGAAAGACAAAAGTTGTATACTTCGGTGGATTTTCGCACGTACCGACGCCGTCGTTCGCAATACCAAGCTCGCCCATGAGATTACTCAGGTCCGTGGCGTTGATGTGCTCGTTGTTCCAGATGCTAACACCATCTGTAGGCAGAGAAGCATTGTGTGGCGGGTAGTATACATCTTGAGCGTTATATAACGAGTCCGATGCCTGCAAAGGCATCGGTTGAACTTCGTCATATCCTAGCTCATGCTGGCTATAGGCTTTCTCGGAGAATGGCGGTGTACTAAAGGGTCCAAGACCAGCGCTGTAGGGTCCTTGCGTGTGTGCGGAGGCATTCTGTAGGTCGAAGAGCTGCGAGGTGCCTGCTTCGAAGTTGTAGTCGTCCTCGCCACTACCATCAGATTGATCGAAGTCAAGGACTCTTTCGAGTCCCTGGAGCTGACTGCCGCCTCCATGAGTGCGGTCATGGCTGATGGTTGGAGGCATGCAATTTGCCCGGAGACGGACACAGGAAGCACACGGCCACTGATTAGTCGTGACAGCATCGCACTTGATCTTCCTCCTCCTACATCCTTCACAAGCCCTCATGACTAATGATGAGTTAGCATTAATTGAACCCAGAAACTATGATCGACAACATACCTTTCAGTCTCTTGTGCCGATTGTGCTCGTCAACGAAAACAAAGTCTGGAGACTTGATCAGCCTACAGTTGGGGAACAGGAGTGCGGTGTCGTGCTTGACGAGAGAGTTCGCTTACTCTTCTTATCAGCGCCGACGCCCATATTGGGAGGCGCAAAGGAGTAATTTTGCTGCATCCCGTTCCCGTATTGTTGCGGCAGCAACGGTCTGGTCTCTGTACCAGCACTCATGACTCGTGCTTATGGCGAGGCCGATGTGCTCGCTCGGAAAGGTTTTCGAAAAAGCTTCGTATGTATTCCGACTCTTATCAATGTCGTATTGTGCCTCCACAGAGCAGCAGACTCTTCTTGCACCAACACAGAAGGGGGCAGCGTGGGGTTAGGCGACAATAGCAGGGATTTCTTCAGCTGTGAGGAAAGTAGGTGTGATGTATTTCTCAGCGAGTTAAAACAGCATCGAGATCTGGCTTCCGACGGAGCTTGACAATGTTTGTCTCGACGAGTATCGAAACAGTCACAGCGCTGACAACCGAGTGCCGACAGCAGTTAGACAGAGGAGCTCATATAGTTCAGTGGCTGGCAGCCGCGAAGGTGAAAGGCAAAGTAGAAAGTCGCTGGTCGATTCTCCAGGTAAGAGCGTGTCGTGTAACGCTTGAGAATGCGAA